CACAAATTTTGGATGTGGGTTGTGAGTTTTTAATAACCAGATCAATTTCTTCTTTTGTTGTTGTTTTAAGTTTTCTGCTTCATTCTGTGTTAATTTCGTAGATCATGTTTTTCTAAATATTTGTCCATTTCTTCTAAATTTTCAAATTTGTTGGAATACAGTTCTTCATAGTGCTGTTATTATCCTTTATATTTCCATTGGTTCTCTTGTGATGTCACCCTTAGTTCTTATGTGTTTTATTTTAATCTTTTCTTGCTATATTTTCCAGTGGTTTATCAATTTTATTAATCCTTTCAAAAGAACCAACTTCTTGTTGATTTTAGTTTTCTATTTTCTGTTCTATGTATTTCTGATTTAATCTTTATTCTTTTCTAGTGGTGGCTGTAGGCTTACTTTGCATCTCTTTTTCTAATTGTTGGAGGTTTTGTGTTAATGTGTTGATTTGGATTCCTTCTTCTTTTTGGATGTGTGCATTTATTGCTGTAAATTGCACTCTTTGCTGTGTCCCAGAGGTTTTGGTATGCTGTGGTTTCATTCTCATATAATTAAAGGAATTTTCTTACTACATTTTATATTTGTTCTGTTAACCAGTAGCTTTTGCACAGGGTTTTATTCAGTTTCCGTGTATCTGGGTTTTTTCCCCTGAATCTTCCTGTTGTTGATTTCTAATTTTATAGCATTGTAATGTGAAAAAATGCTTTGTAGTATTTCATTGTTTTAAAATTTTAGGAGACTTGCTTTGTGGCTTAACATCTCTATTCTGGAGAGTGTTCCATCTCTACTGGAAAAGAATGTATGTTGTACTGTTGTTGGGTTGAGTACTCCATACAATTCTATGAGGTCAAGTTAGTGTTGTTTAGTTCTTTTGTGTCTTTGTTGGGTCTCTTTCTAGTTCTGTCCTTCATTGAAAGTGGAATGTTAAAATCTCCTATTATTGTAGAGATTTCTATTCCTTTCTAAATTCTATTAGAATTTGATATTACGTATTTTGAGAGTCTCATTGGGAGCATAGATATTTATTATAGTTATGTCCTCTTATTCAGTTGGCCCTTTAATGATTAGATAATGTCCTTTGTTTTTAGGCTGGTTTGCCCTAAAATCTATTTTATCAGAAATTAATACTGCCACTTTTTATTTTTGATTGCTGTTAGCTTTTAATCTATTTTTGTCTTTGTGTATAAGGTGTGTCTTGGAGACAGCATATTGATAGATCCTGTTATCTTAACCATTCTGCTACTCTCTATCTCTTGACTAGTACATTTAATCCATTGATGTTTGAATTTCAGTGTATTTATCAATGGGTATGAATTGATTGCTGTCATTTTGCTGAGTATGTTTTTTGTGGTGCTGCTAGTTTCTTTGTTCCACATAATATTCTGTTCTGAATTCATTTTGTTGATGTGGCTTATTGTCAATTTTTTCATTGCTGTTGTTTTAAAGTTTACTAAATCATTATGGTTTTCCTTTTCCTTGATTTAATGTGAATATGTTTTCATTATCTTTGATGCTACTCTGTAATTTACTAATTTTTTCGCCAGTTTAAAACAGTTTTGTTTTTTTTTTATCTTGAAATCTGCTTGACTCTCGGCATTTGCAATTTCTGTAACACTCTTTTCCCTCTTTTTTCTATGGAGTTGTCTTCATTATAAATTGGTTGCCTCTTTTCAGTCTTAAAGGTTTGTTTAATTTTGAATACTTCTATATCTGGATTGAATTCTGGGTGATGTTGCCATGTATGTCAATCTTGTCTGCTGTTGTTAGTTTTCAGTTCAAAGGATGCACTCTGGTATTTTTTGTAAAATTGTGTCTGGTTACTACAAATTCCCTTAATTTCTGTTTATTGAGAAATGTTCTAATTTCATGTAAGTGACAGTTTTTCTGGGTATGTAATTCTTGGTAGGCAGTTTTTTTTCTTTCTTTCTTTCTGCGTTCTGTATATGGCTTCCCATTGCATTTTTGCTTGTAGGTTTCTGCTGAGAAATCAGAGCTTAATCTTATTGGTTCTCATTTGTAGGTAACTTTTCATTTTTACCGAGCTATTCTCAGATTTTTTTGTCTTTGATTTTGAAAATTTTGATTATGTCTTGGTGATTTTCTTTTGGGGTGTGTCCTATTTGGAGTTCGTTCAGCTTCTTGAATGCTTGTCATCTTTCATGATGTTGAGGACGTTTTCTTCCAGTTGCTCTTCAACTTTCTTTTCTGTGATTCTGTTTGTCTCTTCCTGTTCTGGAATTCCAAATACCCATAAGTTTTTCCTCTTCATGATGTCCCACATGAATCTTAGGCTTTCTTCAAATTTTCTCATTCTTTTTTCTGATTTTTCTTCTAGTTTACTAGTATTGAGAAATGTATCTTAAAGCTTATGAATTTGGGTTTCCCTTGATTCAAATCTACTCCTTTGCCCTTTCAAATATTGTTCATTTCTGAAATCTTAGTATTAATGTTTTGCATTTCTCTTTGTAGGGTTTGTGTTGTTTCCAGTCCTTTATCTATTTCGTTTTCTTGTTCTTGTGGTATTGTCCTGAATTTTTCTTGTTTTCCTCAACCTGACAATCATTTGGAGATACCTAATGAGTCCCTGTGTGGTGCTATAGGTTAATGCACCAGACTGCAAAGCCGTTTGAACTGCAGTGTTGGTGGTTCAAGCTCAACAGCTGCTCCTTGGAAACCCTATACAGGATCGCTATGGGTCAGAACCGACTTGACGACACTTAACAACAACAATAGTTGGAACCATGGCAGCAGCAATGGGGTCAAGAGTACTAACAATTGTGAGGCTGGTGCAGTACTGGGCATTGCTTCATTCTGTTATGTACAGGTTCAGTCGGAATTGGAAACATCTCAACAGTACCTAGCAACAAAGATCATTCTCTTGAATTCTTTTTCATGTTGTTTCAATGCCTTTTTTTTTCCTGAAGAACATTTTCTAGCTCTACCTCTTGATCATTTGTTTAAGCCACTCTGTCTTATTTCTTCATGTGAGCACAAATGATCTGTTGCTTCAGAGGCATTGTGATGTTGCTGTATTTGTATTAAATTGATGGTTGAATGTTGGTATATTCTCAGTCACTCACCAACTGCCTCCTGATGGATGTGATTAGGGAATGGAAACATGTGCACTTGTTATCTGTTCACCATATGTACAGCTCAGTTTAGGATGGGCTTGGCTGATGATGTTTGTTGCCATTGATTAGGTGTATAGTAGCTGGTATTGGTTCTTGCCTAATGGGTGGGATTATAGAGCTCAGGTTGGGGTTGGAGTGTATAGGCACGGTTGCTGTCCCCTATCAGGTGAGGTGAGAAGGAAAAACACACACACAAGAGAGAGAAAGAAAACAAACAGGCAAACAACATTTCTTTTTTCTTTTTTTAAGAAAGAAAGAATTAAAATAAAAATAAAAATAAACAACAGCTAGTTTTTCATATTTTTTAGAATATGAAAACCAAGAAGGGAGAGGGAAAAAATAATAATAAAAGCCATGAAAAATAAATAAAGAGAAAGAAAAATGAGAGGGATGAGTAAAAGGGAAAGAGATCAGAGAGTAGTTAGGGGAAAAAAATTAAGGGGTGTGGGGGTAAGCCAGCAGTAGTTGGGAAAGAGAAGCAGAAAAAGAAAAAAAATGAAAGCAGAGATAGAAAGATTAAAAGCAAGGAATAAACAAACTAAAAACAAGGAAAAGGTAAAAGCAGGGCAGGTGCCAGACCCAGAGAAGAGAAAATTCTGGGGTTTCCTGCCAACCAAGGATGTCACGTGGTAGGTGGGCAAGGGATGAAACAGAGGCATATTGGTCCCAGATAGAGTTCCTTTACAGGTAGGTGTTTCCTGTTCTGGGCTTCCAATCCCAAAGTAGTTTTTGCATACCCTAAAGCAACTGGGGGAATCAAGGTATTTCTTTCACAGAAGGCAGTTAATAGTGAGAGGTCCCACTAGTCCAGGGCTGACCAGAATCAGCTCTGCAAATCTGGAGCACCCCTCTCCTGATCCAGGTGCCAGGGTTGGTGCTGCTAGCTCTCTACTCACTTTAATGCAGCTCTGACCATTAAGAAAGCAGGAGCTTCTCTGGTGGGGGCTGGCTATACTGTTGGTCACCAGGATAATGTGGGGTACCAGAAAAAAATGTGTACCTTCCTTTGCCAGTAAGCAATGTGCCACTGTGTTCCCTACCACCCTCTTACCTTCAGAGCTGCCCAGGAAAGTTCAAAGTGGCTGTGCCACGCCTGGCCAGCTAACACAGGTAACCTGTCTCCTTGTTTGTTTGTTTGTTTTTTCAGAACCCCACGTGTCTGTTCAGCTGCTTCTCCTAGTTAGTACTAGTCCAAGGCTGGCCAGAGCCAGCTCTGCAGGTTTGGAGCACAGCTCACCTGAAACCAGGTGCAGAGGTTAATGCTGATAACTCCCTACTCCTTTAATGGGGTTCACAAATGTGGCGCTCAGCTCCATGTGGCTCCAACCTCCGGGAAAATGGAAGCCTCACCGGGGATGTATGAGGGTAAAGTTTGTCCACACCACTGGTCACTAGGGAAGTGTGGGAAACAAGCAAAAAAAAATCATACCTTTATCTCTGTAAGTTAGTGGTATGTCTCTGTAATGCCAATGTGCTGTCTCCGAAACAGCTCACAATTTTAAGATGGCCATGCCGCATCAGCCAGCACAAGTCACCAGTGTGTCTCTCTTTTTTGATGCATCTGTTCAGCCTTCTGTCCTAGTAAGCATTCAGTCCACTTCTCTATCTCTTCATCTGAAGCTCAGGGTTCCAAGACTATCATCTCATCTGTTTTATTTGATTTTCTGTATCTGTGTTGTAGAGGGTCTGTAAAGCATTACTGCCTAGTCCACCATCTTGCTGCCTCTCCTCTTTCTAATTTTTAAATAGTTTTTTTATTAATTATATAGTATGACATGGAGAGTAATAATATGTATAAATTTAATTATTTAAATATCAGGAGGATCATTCAGAGATCTTGCATTTAATGTCTGTTTTTCTTTGCCATTTTCATAGCGTCGTCTTGGAGATGCAGCCAAGAAAGCCATCAGCAAATTGACAACCAGAACAGTAAAAAAGGGTGATAAGGTATAGTAATGAAATAACTTCAACACTGTAGATGTAATAGTGTTTGACTTTGGTTTTGGTGGGAGAGAATGTACCCTAATCTTCTGTGTTTTATTTATCATTTTTCCCCACATATGATATATAATGCTTTATTTAAAAAAAAAAAAAAAAAATCTTTGTATACTCATCATTTAGAAGCCCTTCATATTATTCTCTAACTTTTCTGGACTTTTAACACTCATACTATTAGTGTCACTAGACTGTATATAATTTCCCTAGCTATGTGTTTCAGTCGATTTTTTTTCTTCTAGAACCTAGCATACATTTTATAAGAATTCTGATGGCACACATTATACATTAAACATCCAGGAAATGTATTTTCTCCATATATGACCTATGACTTTGCTATAACTCCTTTGTGTTGTTTCTCCAGTTAAGTGGAGAATTAGAAACCTACCTCTCAAGGGAGTCTTGGTTAACAAGGTGCTCTTTTTGCAGTGAGGTAAGAAGAGTTTGGAAGAAGAGCACTTCATAGTTGTCAGGTTGGACCTTATGATTTAGAGAGACTGAATCAGGGTGGCAGTGACAGAGGCTGTGGTTGAGACCTCCAGCCAAATTTCTCCAGTCAAATCCCAAATTATGGTAGAGCATGCTTCTGCTCTATAAGTATAAAATAACAACTTAATGATAGACCCACATTTAATATACTGAATATTATATACAATGAAAACAAAATGCATTCAAACATAAGGCACACAAGCTGCACATGGGGGTGGGAAGGGAAAATGTATCAGAAACGTTCTACCCTCTGCTTTCAAATTCTAGCAAAGAAGAGCTCTAGAGAGATGTTTTCCAATGATTTTTCATCCCCCTAAGTTTTACGTCTTTTTTATGGACTGTACCAATTTTTATTCCCACTGTCGATAATACCACCACATTGCATTTCCCCTAACACAGATCCAGAACGTGGAGACATTTTCAGTGAAGTTCATTATACACTAAAGAAGGAAAATAGTTAAAAAAAAAATTTAAAGAAAACACCAGCATCACCATCATAGACATTTTATTGCCCTCTAAAATTCTTCATCTCTTGGCCTGATGACCTCCAACTACCATGGAAATTTGCAATTCCGTGGAGTGTTACCTTACCCATCTTATTCTGTCCACCAGGCCAGCACAAAAAAATCTTTCCTCCTTAAAGCTAACCATGTCTTCCTAGTCTATACCTCATGGACTTACCAAACATTTTCAAGCTGAGTTTTGGTCTAAGTGGCAATGACACATCACATAGTCTCACCTCTGCTGGATTTGGTTCATGATATTGTTCCACATAACTTAGATGGAACCCTTCCTCAGCCTCGAGGAAGGAGGAAATGACACTGAGTGACCAAACACTTGGCTCACTCTTCCTGACTCTTTATGAAGACCCATATTGAGTTGCTCCCCATGACTGTTTCCTCTCCCATGTCTGTGGCCCGATGCCCAGCTTCCATACTTGGTGTGGGTCTCTACATAGCAGTCTGTTGGAGACTAACTGTCTTTTGTGCCTGTACTTCGGGGGTACATGTAAACTATACAATGAAAGCTGTTCAGAGCAGAATAGTAATGTAAATAGAATGACAAAGGCAGAGTACCCCAGTGGCAATGACTTCATGAAGAAAGGGTATAAGAAGAGCAATCTCACCAGCCAGGGAACCGGGGCTTCCTGTTATAATTCTATAATAATTATACAGTACTTTGTCCAGCAATAATCTGCCATTTGGCCTCATCCCCTATATAACACTTTTGTCAAAATCCAACATCTATTATCCTTTTTAACAGAAAACCTCTCTGGGGTAAGCTTTTAGAGGGAGATCTATTTGATAGGCTTCATCTTTGGGCCTCAATCATTCCCAGTAAGTTTTCTCCCTATACAACAGCACCAGCTCCCCTGTATTATTAGCATTCATGTTGATTGAGCTCCTAGTATAGGGAAAGGGAAGAGAGACACTCTGTGTCTATTTTAACTATGATTTTTATACATGTCTTTAATCTGCATAACAGTCTTCAGAAGTAGTAGTATACCTGTGTTGTACAAAATAGTCAGGGTTCAAAGAAGCTAAGCTGCTAAAGATGTAACCTTGTGTAAATGGTAGAATCTGGATTGGAATTTTTTCTGTACAAAAATATGTTGGGAATACTGTAGCTTTGGTTCTAGACCACTGCAGTACAGTGAGTCACACTAATCTTTTTGTTTTTACAGTATATATATAAACGCTGTATTTATACTCATATATATTCTTTATTAACTATGCAAAGGCTTTCGACTGTGTGGGTCATGACAAGCTATGGACAACATTGGGAAGTATGAGTATTCCAGAACACTTAATTGTATTCATGAGGAATCTGTACCTGGACCAAGAAGCAGTTGTATGAACAGAGCATGGGAACACTGAATGTTTTAAAATTGGGAAAGGTGTGCGACAGGGTTGTATTCTTTCACCATACTATTCAACCTGTATGCTGAGCAAATAATACAAGAAGCTGGGTTCTATGAAGAAAAACATGGCATCAGGATTGGAGGAAGACTCATTAACAACCTGTGATATGCAGATGATACACCCTGCTTGCTGAAAGTGAAGAGAACTTAAAACATTTACTGAGTACAGTCTTCGATATGGATTACATTTCAATGTAAAGAAAACAAAAATCCTAACCACTGGACCAGTAAACAACATTCTTATTAATGGAGAGAAGATTGAAGTTGTCAAGGACTTCATTGTTCTTGGATCAACTATCAACACTCACAGCAGCAGCAGTCAAGAGATCAGACGACGTATTGCATTAGGCAAATCTGCTGCACAGGAACTTTTTTAACTGTTGAAGAGCAAAGATGTCAGCTTGAGGACTAAGGTGCGCCTGACCCATGCTATGGTATTTTCAATAACCTCATATAGATGCAAAAGCTGGACAGTGAATAAGGAAGATTATAAAAGAATTGATGCCTTTGAATTATGGTGTTGGAGGAGAATACTAAAAGTGCCATGGACTGCCAAAAGAACCAATAGACCTGTTTTGGAAGAAGTGCAGCCAGAGTGCTCCTTAGAGGCCAAGATGGCCAAACTTCGTCTCTCATATTTTGAACATATTGTCTGGAGGGAACAGTTGCTAGAGAAGGATACCATGCTTGATAAGATGGAGGGTCAGAGAAAAAGAGGAAGACCCCAACGAGATGGATCGGCCAGGTGGCATCATTGATGGCGTCAAGTGTGGCAGCGGTAGTGAGGTTGGCCCAGGATTGGACATTGTTTCGTTCTGCTGTGCATGGGGTCGCTATGAGTCGGTTCCGACTCGATGGCACCTGACAACAACAACAACAACATATATATTCTGGAAAGTATATTATGAGAATTACCAAAATGTGACACAGAGACACTAAGTGATAAGTTGCTATTGGAAAAATGGTAGCAATAGACTTGCTCTATGTAGGGTTGCCACAGACCTTCATTTTGTCAAAAGTACAATATCTGCAAAACGATTAATTAATTCTCTCAACTACCCTTTGAGGTAGGGCTTGTTGTCCTTAGTGTTATATGAGAAGATTGACAACAGAGTTTAAATAATTTACCTAAGCATACATAACCTGTACAGGTGACAGACTACTATTCAGCTTCAATTTGTATGTCTAAAATCCTTGATTTTTCTTTTTATTACATGACTCTAGACAGTTTACACAAATGTTAGCAACCAGAGTGAATACAGGCTATGATATCCTAAGGCAACTACTCCGTAGGCTTCTGCCACTGCCACTAAAGAGTGCTCGCCCTTCCATCCAGAATTCACACTATGGAAGGTACTGTTAAGTACACTGATTATACCAGAGTCATTGGCCAACTTGACCCTCCCTTGCCATGGAGACTGCCCACTGTGTATGAGAGGAACAACATGTGATATGGTCAGATCCTGAACTGTGCAAGAAGCCAGCCTCAGATGAACTCACAATCTGGTCTAAGGGGAAGGAGAGACAGATACACAGATAACTCGGAAGGTAGAGAGTAATGGAGACCATAAATAAAAGAGTAGATGAGGTGCTGAGGGAAAGATAGTTTCCAGCTGTTAGAGGTAGTGAGATATCAGAGAAAACTTAACAGAGTTTGCATCTGTTTGGTCTTTAAAGGAAAGATGCCATTCAAAAATGAGATTGGATAGTCTCAGGGGATACCATAGCATAACATAGTCCACAAAAACTTTACATCCTACTTGGGTGAGTAGTATGTGGGATTTTGAAAGCTAATGAGCAGCCATAGCCATCTGTGGTGCAACTATTGGTGTCTCCATGTGCAGAAGAAAGAATGTGGTAAGAACTGAAGAGACTGTGAGAATCAATCCAGTGCACTAATGGAACTTGTGAACATCATTCCCCACAACTCTGAGATCAGAAGAACTAGACAGTGCCTGGCCACCACTACCAGCTACTCTGAAAAGGATCACATTAGAGGTTCCCAGATAGAGTGGGGGGAGATGTGGAACAAAACTCAAAATGGTTAAAAAAAAAAAAAAAAGACTGGGTTTACTGGTCAGAAAGAGACTGGAGGAACCTGAGACTATGGCCCTCCACCCTTCAGATCTGGAAAAGAATTAACCCTTATGATATAATTTTCAACCAAACTTTATAGGTGGGGACAGTACTAGCAAGGTTTGCTCACCATGGAATGGTCAATCATTCAAAATAAAAAGACAACGTTTTTGTAAGGACAAAGTTGAGAAGGTATAGGAAGGTGGTTAGAATGCAAATGGAAACCACAGAGAGGAAGAGGGATAAATTTGTTGCATGGAGAGGGGACTATGATCATTGAAATGAACAAAGTGTGTGATTTGAATGTAAAGCTGATGATCTTGTCTGTACCTTCACTCAATTCACAATAAAAAGTTACACACAAAAAAATGAAATGGGTGACTCTAGTAGAGGAAACAGCATGGACAAAGGATGAAAAGTTATTTGAAGAGATAATTACCAGCACCAAAAATAAGTTGAGGTTCGT